GCCGTAAGAGACGCGCAATCGTTGTGTATTGTAGAGACTATGTGGCCGTCAGAGACGCGGAATCGATGTGTTTTGTACCCATATGTCCCCGGCACTGCCGCTGGCGTACGCTGGAAGCGCTACGCTGCCGCAAAGTATAAACCCAGCCTTATGTTATCGCACTGAACCCGCATGATTGCCTTGCGTGAAACTTATGATTAGCTTGTTCAGATCTAGAAAGCGTATATGTACTAGGAAGAAATTACCTTTGTAGTGCTTCAAAGCACATGTGATATTGACCCGTGTAATTTTCTCTGCGAAGAGATCTATCTTATTCAGAAATAGGATCATAGCAGTGCTGGAGAACCACTCATTATTGCAGATTTGATCGAATAATTCAATCGAGTCCTTCATTCGATTCTAAAATATCTGTGACAATTGGAGATATTTAGTATGAACCTTGAAAGAAGATAAATACGGTTATGCATCAACAAACAAATGCGAAACACAATCACGAGCTTATGATTACTTTTTAAAAACTGCAATATCTAAGAAAGTACGCAAACGGGACGCTGGCAAGAATTTAAGTGATATATTTGTGATGTATACAGTATCTCAATCAAAATCCAAACTACCGGAATTGGAAGGATGTGCAATCATTGCAGCACTGCTGCAACCTCATCGTATAACCGCCCTTCCCTTGCAGAACATCGATGGGCTCAGGGCACATCATTGTTGAGGATTCCCTAACAGAGGGGGTCGAATTCGGCCGCTGGAGAGGGCTGGGGTGGTGTTTGATCTAAGAAAGTTTTTTTGATCATTGATTTTTCTTGTTTAGGGGGCGCTATAAGGGAGGGTCGTGTTTGGTCGGTGTTGGGATAGGTGGGAGAGTCGTACTTGCCTAACGGTCTTCTGAGAAAAATTGTTAACTTTTCGTGGTGATCCCTGTTTCATATGTACTCTGCCCTCCACCTCCCCCCCCACCCTGCCGCTCAACAGCTCGATGAGGGAGGAAAGCAGGGGGGGGGGTATCGTACGGAGTCAGTCCACCAAAACCCCTCAACCAATGATGTACCCTAAATGGGCCATCTATCAAATACATTAACGTCTTTTTAGATGTCTAATACAGCCTTGCCCGTGGATGTGTCTGTGAATGCTGGGGTGTGTCAGTGAGGTTGGGTTCGATGCGCCGCCAGCTCGTTCTCCACTAGTTGTTGAAGCTGGTAAACGATAATAGATGGTGAAAAACGATTGATACGAACCTATGGTACAGCCGTGTCGCTTGTGCGCTGCTAATAGTTTCCCAAAACTGGCGCGCACAAACCTTAATCCATCCCTAAACGCACGGACGGGCAGTTTTGCGTTGGCTGAGCGCATCTGACCATCGATCAGCGGGCAATGTCTGCCTCTAAAAGAGCTGCTGTAATTTTTCGCGTGCTATGCATGCGATCGTTAATTTGGTCTTGTACGTCTCCCCTCCATTTCCTCCTTTTGCTCGACTCTCTTCAAAACGCATTTTCCTAGATTTCATTGTCGAGGGGAGGGGTGAGTTGAGGAGGAGGTATAAAATAGATGCCTGGCGGCGGCTCACGACCTACCTACCTTACACTGAAGACTTCCTGCTGAATTTTTAGAAACTTTTTCGATTCTCTGCATACAAAAACGCACGTCGTGCGTGGGGAGACGTCCTCTCAAAGAAGAGCTGTACAATCACCTTATAAGAGCAATTCTCGCTATATGACAGGGGAACTAATCAGCAGCTGCACCTGCGTGCCGCTCTCTCCGAATAAATGAACGTGTAGGGTAGTGGTACCCGACAGCAATCTTCACTATTGTATTAGGTCACCTCATTCAAAAATGTGGAGACATATAGAGGAATGGTAGGAAAGCAAAAGGGATAGGGCAGCTGCCTACAATACCATTTAGGAGCAAGGACCTCTACCTATGTATCTGTGAAAAATATCGGACCCATGCCACAGGAAGAAGTTGCGAGAATAAGAGAAAAGAAGCCCGAGTGGTGAGAATCAGCATCGGACTTTCAAATCAGGCGTTATAAGAGGAAAGTGCACTGCTCAAATTTGACCTGTGCCGGACCAGTAGTTGCGTGTAATGGTGCTCTCAAAATGCAAGAGGGAAGATTTGGTTCAGGAGCCCAAACAAGGAGGAAAATAAAAAATATGTTGTTCTGAGATCCCATAATGTTCATACTGCACAAGAAAAAGGGTGGATGAAGTCAGCGCTGAATCACGAATCCAGACGGTTGGACCCTTATCGAGCTTCCCCCGCGGGACACTATCCCTGCTGCACAGCTGCTGAACGAGTTATGTCCGATAAATTGAGGATGGTCAAGAGAGTGTGCGTATGGGTGCCTAATCTTCTTGTGGAAGCACGAAAGCAGTACCGATTCTATGCCTGTTAAAGTAATGTTCTCCGCATAAGATGTCATTCACGACTACGAAAACTCACCCCGGCCCCAAATGGAATATGGGTGCTCTTGAAGTCCGAGCTAAAACTCACAAGCGTCAATTTTGTATGAATGCAGATGAAAAGCCGCCCGAATTCTGTCATGAGGAGTTACGTGAGCCTTAAGTGAGTGAACATTATAGCGAAGGATTTCTGCACTAAGGCTTTCAAGCGGCTCTATACAAAAGACCAAATGGTCTCACACAACTAAAAGGAGGGCCGCTCTTGCTGTCAATAGTGCCAGATCCTGAGTAACTGTATTTTAGGCAGTGTAGGAACAAACAATTGCAGAGACCTGAGTCTCGCTCAATTGCGCGGCCGGACACAAAGCTGTGCGATTCACTGTTTGACCAAGTCGATGGTGGCTTTTCGAAGTGCAAAACGCTTACAAATTTGTTGGTCACTTTCCGCCTAGATTTGGGCAGCAAGCAGCAATGTTACCTCGCAACTTGTTGAAAAAAACGAATGTGTCAGAGGTTCAAATCGCTTTCGCGGGCACAGCGGAGTCGTTGGTGGCTGGATAGATCTACCTATTCAGAGGGGCGCAAAATACTGCACTTTTATCTGGTTTCGCTCTTCGATTTAAATATATGAATAAAATCTTCTGCATTTTTAAATGGGATGACCTAATGAATCTACTGTAAATGTAACTCCTCACTATTGCTATTGACGAGGTGCTTTTGCGTCGACACCAAGGTCCCGCAGCGATATGTACATATACTCCTTATCGGAGTAGGCGTGGCTTTTGAGCATGGCATAGGACGGGTTTCTCGTGGATACTTCAATTTGAAACAACTGCTATCTTGTTCTGTGCTATATGTAGACATGATTACGACTGCTCCGAAATGACAATATCTCACGGAAACCTGGGCGCCACCATTTTAAAATCAAGTACGCAGCCACGCCTACTCGCGATCTCAGGGGTTTCCGAGTATACATTCAATGGTTGCCGTGCCGCATCGCGGACGGAGTATGGGGCGGCACTCGGGTACCACTACTCTCCAGCCCAGTTCCGTGGGCTTTTAACCGCGAAAAACTCAAATTGGCGGACCGACCATTCTCTGATACGTGGCACGGTCTGCGGATGTTACCATAATGTCCTACAGAATCAGCGTTTCATATTTAATTTTGGGCGCAGCCCAAGTAAACGGATAGAGAGGCTGGCGGTGTATGGGCGCGACAGGGCATTATGAAAACTTCTCAGTGCGAAAATACATATCTACGAACCCCCCCCCCCTCCCCATGCGCTAGGTCATGACCCTCCAGTGTTTTTCACTGCGCAATGCTATTCCTATATGCAACAGCATGAGCATCGTTGTCCGCTTGAGAAGAGTCTTCAGGTCTCGTCAAGGAGAATGTTGGCAGGGACTAGGAAAAGAAATGAGCGAAACCGGAAAGCCCTCCCTGAACCGAACGGAGCCGTTTTGTGAAATCATATGAAGTGGAGCAAGTGGAAACCAAAGACAGGCTTCTGACATAATGAGGCAACGGAAAGTGGCACATCTGTCGCACTCTTTCTCCAGAAATCACAGCACATCTGTTTTCACTAAGGTCCACCGAATCTCTCATAATTTCAGGACCGGTTATGTACTTCCACATCTATGGAGCAAGAGAACTGATTTGTTCATCAGTTGTCCCTGCAATGCCCCGAATACGAATGGGGCTTATATTGGATTTTATGTTGCTAAGTATTGAATTTCAATTTTGATCACACTAGTTCTCAAAAGCAGTGGAGAGCTCCCATCTTGTGAAACGACCAAAGCATGATCATGGCAGAGCCAGAGGCTGCTTCTACAGCAGTCGTTCCAACAACGTCATACGCCTTAAAACATAGCAACTTACAACTGTGTGGTCCTCAGCTAGAGTCTGATTATATTCCGACAGGGAAGTGATAAATAGCACGGCATGAACGTCGTCGATACATGGATTCCTTTCGAACGCTAGCGCCTTCTGCCAGCGCGTACGAAAACCCTTTAAATTACATTCATGTAATATGTTACCAAAGCGAGAGTGGAAACGAGCAATAGACTATGGTTACTTGTCGGAAAAGACATGAATTTCTTTCGATGATTTTTTGAGCTGCAGGCATTAAAGATCTTTTATGCGTTGGACTTTCACCATTTACTGGTTTTGATATGGTATGCGATACTCATTATATTACAAACGCTCCATGACCCGGAGATGAAGTGGGAGTGTGTGTATTCTAAGGTTCTTTTGAACAAGGCGGACTATTAGTTGGTGCGATGCCTGTACCACAAAACAGGACGACAGGCAGGGCACGCCATCATTGTGATAATCACAACAGAGGAGTCGTATACTCCTCATCCCTGAGCCAGAGTAGGCGTGCATTGAACATGGCCCGGAACATGGTTACTCGTGGAATATTCCAGTCTGGGACAACTGTCATCTTGTTCTGTGTTGGACAGAGACACGACAACAATTGTGTCAAGATGAAAATATCTCACCAGAAGCATAGACACCTTCAGGTTAAGTTGAAACATGGCCACGCCTACCCGATCTCAGGGATTTCGAGTATAAGCAGCAATACTCAGAACTTCTGAGGGAGGAAGGGTCGTAGCGTAAACCGCTTTTGAAGTGGAATGAGCAGCAATACTCAGATGTTTTACAGCATGAATAGTAGAGATTTATTCATTGTTCTTCATGTGAAGAACACCTTGAGAGAGACTTGAAGACAGCCTGCAAGCTCAGAAGTGGGGTACGAGCGGTACTAAGAAGTGCGACGCCACCCACAACCACGTCATGAATTAGTAAACATACGAAA